GGCGAGGGGGGGGGCTGCATGGGGGGGGGGGGGGGGGGGGGGGGGGGGGGGGGGGGCTCTGCATGTGCAGTATGCGCAGCACTGACTGAAAGGGCAGGGGAAATGCAGCAGAGAATTTTACATGGTATGATGGCTGTAAATGCTTTTATCTCTCTACTGAATCACCACGGAAGCAGTCAGACTGGGTTTTTAGTGTCTGTTTTCTATTCGTTTGGTTTTCTGTTTGCCACAAGAGACACTTTCTTTCTTCATATTTTCTACTTTATAGATTTTATAAAGGAGAAAAGACAGTTTATCAGTTTTCTAGGTCAGAGCAAATAAGGACGTGTATTTATGTTGTGAACACACGGCTGATACAGGCCACTGTCAGAGCGTCGGGTGTTTAGGAGCCTTGCTGGTGAGCCAATACAGAGGAATTTTCCATTCTCCAATGCAGCGCTAGATGATATCAGATTTCAGAAGATATGGGCTGGTGTAGAGGCTTTTGTTTTGTCACGGTGGATTGCAGCATGGGAGCAGTCTTGGCAGATTTTATTACGAATGTTTTCCTTCTCTTTTTTCTGTTGGGAGTGGTATATTTACAAATTTTCAATTGACAGCAAACTCCCACTTTTAGTCGAAGATATTCAGCATTTCTCTGCACAAACTTTCGCACTCAGGTTTTACTTCTTCTGCCAATGGAAGTCTTCATTTTTACGAGTATAGCCGACATGTGGATGCATGCTGACACCTGTCTCTGCACGGCTTTAATGACATGCATTTATCCATCTGTCGCGTGTCAGAAAGAGGCCGGGCATGGCAGGAGGTATTTATAGTGCTCTTTATTCCCTCCCTTCATTACAACCAGCATTTCAGTCTGGACTTGAAGTTATAAATGAAAGTAATTACATGCAGACTGTTTTTGATATTCTTGGATCAACTATGCAAACTAGTGATGGCCCTGAAATAAATTTACATAAATATATATATGTATGCGTTTATTTTTTTTTAGCTTTGTATATCATTCAGTAGTTTCCCAGTGCTGTTCCTTATGTATTCAAATCCAAACTTAGTCCAGCCCACACCGGAGGGGAAAACAATGAATCGCTCTCCATTGTCTTTGTATTGTGTGAGTGTGCCTCCATGTCACCTCATCTGCTAGCAAACAGAAAACAAGGCAGGTTGGATGCACTATGCACAGTGTAACAAGACGTGAGATCCAGACACTCAGTGTGCACCTAGCATTTCGTGCAAATGTGCACAACTCATGTTGCAGTGGAATGTAGATAACGATACATCAGAAAGCAGTATTATGTTTGCAGGTGCCTTAGCTAGCTACAGTAACTAGCTAATACATAGCTAACATTAGCTCACTGACAGCTAATTTGTCCCATCATCATTTAGCATCAACTGCACCCCTGGTAGACATGTGGGCCCATCGCACAGAGACGCGTCGCTAGAAATGCGTCACCCAAAAAGCCGTTGTTTTCTTACGGTATGGGGTGCCTGACGTGCCCCCTGCTGGTCAGTAGAGAGAATGCACGTTTTAAGACACTTCCGCGTTGGCTTCACTCGGCAGAACCGGAGGTTGCCGCCTGGATGCAACGCGTCTCAGTGTGATCGGGGCCATAGGGTGCAAAAATCATCATCACACAACACATACAAGTACACATACAACCCCACTTAGCAAAGCTAACATTGACTCAGATAAAATCCTACATGAAAAAGCAATAATATTGGTCAAAACCTGAACACATTTACAAAGACAAGTGTGTATTAGGAAACACAGGCATAATTCCTGCACCACACACCATATCGTTAAAGTCCAAATAAGAACAAAAAGTCTAAATCTGTGAAAGGCTAAATGCAGAAACACAACAATGACTTACAAAAGAAAGCAGAAAGAAGAAGATCTAACACACTTCAGAGGATTTCTCTCCAGAGGTAAGTTTATCGCTTTGGTTCTTAAGGCAAAGAGGGAATCGTGACTTGTTAAAAACAAAACAGTTGGGTGATTAACAAAAAAACAAAGAAAACTGTTCAGTCGGTAGAAGAGACGATGGAAGTTTACTAGCCATCTGTGTCGTCTCTCCCAACGTGGAACTCTGTTATCTCTTTGGCGATGCGTTCCGCTATCGCTCTGCTGCTGGCGATGATCAGCCTCCGAGACATCAGATCAAACGGTCCACCTGGACGAGACACAGAAGAAGAAGAAGTCACATTGTGCTGGTACAAGAATGTAGAAGTTAACATTCCAAAGGTTTGTTGCGTAAACCTGAATAAACCAGCTTATTCTTCTGCCTAGTGGATATTTTCTCTTCTTGTTTTTTTAATAGATTTGCACTGTTCAAAATGTCATTGTGAGCAGTGAAACCCCAGCAGAGAGGACGAAGCATCTAATGCTGGCTTCACCTCACTGCTGCTGGGTACACCGACTGACCAGGTAATTTAAGGGCAAATAAACTGTTTAAGTTAACTCTCTTGAGTAATAAGATTTAATTTAACACCACTCAAAGACAGAGTAGAACAATACAAGTCATTATAGCAAACAGTTGAGCACGTTTATGCCAGCGGACATCTTCTCCTCCATAGATCTGGCTTATTGCACCATCCAATCGATGGAACAGAGATAACGTATTCATTGTGAGACGCCCGTGTTGTGGAAGAACAATTGCTAAGTACTCAGCTAGTCACAAGAGGGGAAACGGTTACATATCAGATGGGAAAGGTGTGGGAGACGGATTTCCAAGATCATTATTTCAACATCATTATAAAATTCTACACTCCGCAGGATCAGACTTTCAAGCGGGAGAGAGCCGATCGGTGAGTTACAACCTTCACTTATAGTCCAAAGAGGAGAGGATGAGCTGGAGGGAAACTCGTCACTTTACATGAAGTCTAATCCGCCACAAACACACACACACACTCCAGACGTCTTTTGGCAGAAGTTAAGAATGCGCTTACTCTTTCAATAGCGCTGCCATTGTCAACTGTGCAGGTTTGATTTGACAGCAGCTTCCAATAACCCTGAATATCTCAGCTGTTGCCGAAATGTAACACAACATTTTCTCAAATCCAACTGCTTCCCGTTTCAAGTGCAAAGCCGCCAGCTGTAACTGTGTTACAGTCATTTGTGAGCAGAGAGAGGGATGATAACCAATAACAACCAGAATTTGTAACAATAAATAATTCATAAACCTTTAATAACTTCCGTTGTGTTTGCCCTAAACCAACAGCAGACTTTGTCTCTCACTGCAATCTCCAACGATCCCCCCCCCCCCCCCCGCCCCCTGCCGCTCGCTTCCTTCAGTTCATCCAGTGACTCAGAAGCCTCTAAAACAATTAAGAAGAAGAGGTTTAGCAAAGAGAGCTCAAGCCCTCCCAGTGACTCACCTGAAATGTCCATGACAACTCCTCCGGCCTCGGTAACAACCGCCGCCCCTCCAGCCATGTCCCAGCAGTGGATGCCCATGTGGTAGTAAGCGTCGGCCGAGCCGCACGCCACCAGACACATGTTGACAGCTGCGCTGCCCGGGGAGCGGACGCTGTGGATGGAAATGAGATGTCTGCTCTGCATTTGACTCACTCTTAAAAAACTGCACTCAAAGTTTAGTGAGCGTATGTGAATGTTTTAGGTTATAGTCCTGAAGATGTTCATGGACTCAAACTACATTTGGGATACTATTTATGGTTGGTTTCTTTATGGTGTTTGGTCATTGCTTCTCTCAATTTGATCATTTTTTTATTTGTATTTTTGCACCTTAACCATCAGGCTACCAGGGCGTCCCTCTATAGTGATTTCAGACTGCCTGGAAAGCATTTTTATCAGTGTCCATTAGATGATTTGTATTTATTTATTATGGAACCAGAAGGAGCCACAGAGAGCTGAAGGCGACAGGCTGCACCACCTCAGTCACCAGATCAAACAGGACTGAAACGTTAAGGATTACAACACTTGCACAAGTATTTATTTATTTGTTTACCCGTGCACGGGGATGGTGAGGATTGTCTTCACGTTGGCCAACATTGTTTTGAAACGCTCGGGATCCTTGTGGAAGTTCATTTCCGTCAGTACCATGGATTGGCTAATATCTTGGAAGACACACAGAAAATAGCAGTTAATACCCGAAAACACAAACACTGCCTCCGAGGTGCCTCTGTGTACAGATGTTGGTGCTAGCAGAGGATCAGGCTGTGACATTGCCTCCACCTGGTGGATTTGTTGAAAACAGCAACACTGAAGAAGCCCGACGCGATTACCAATGTTTACCTTCCTGTCCAGACACTTTGATGGGGTCTCCGTTGCAGAATGCCCCCTTCCCTTTCCGCGCCGTGTACATTTTGTCCTCGATGCAGCTGTAGACGATCCCGAACTCTATCTGAGACCGAGAAGCAGCACAGAAAACAGCTGTGATGAGAGGGGGAGGGCTAAGAATAGAACAGCAGCCATACAAACTACTGTACTACTCATCACTCTCTGGGTTATTGGGGTAATTACGATCTTAAGGAATCGTTTAATTAAGATGCTACAGTGTCAAAAAAAACCCAAAAAACGCTTGACTCACAAACAACAAAGCATACCTCTTTCTTCACAGTGAAGCCGATTGATACGCACACAAAAGGGAACCTGCACAAAAGGAATTTATAATGTAAGAAAAGCATTCCTTTAATGAACTCCCTTTAGGTTTAAGCTCAGAGGATTCAATTTCTATTATCAGTTCAGTTTCATCTACATTGTCTAATTATCCCTGACGGAGAGGACAATCCGAGAGGGAACCCAATTAAAAGATAATAATAGATAAGGAGCGACGAAGATAAAATAAATCCAGTGGCCTATCGGGCCTCTCAGTGGTTTGTATAAAGGGGGATAATGTACAGAGAGACGGTCATTACTGCGAAATGAACCCAGGGTTCAGAGGGTGAGCCGGACCCCGGACGACAATCAATAGTTTAATACAATATATTCATTTTAATAATATTTTATGAATTAAAAGAAAAACACGAGTCTTCTCCCTGAGTGCGGAGATCAGAACCGCTTCAACAACGACTGTATTATACAGCAGCGGCCTGCTACGAAGAAACAACAGACAATCGAGCATTCGACACACACCCGTAATGAACAGTACCTGTGAACAAAGTTGGTGGTGCCATCAATGGGGTCGATGATCCAGGTGGGATCGTCCGTCAGAACACTGGGAGCACCTGCTGCTACCGACTCCTCCCCTATGAAGCTTCACCATCAGAGAGACATAAACTATTGATGCCGTCCACCCGCTGTGTTTACTTTGAGTATTATGTCATGTGAGCTACACTTTCCTTCGTGTCCAAAGTACTTTTTCTTCGATGTCACAATATAAATAATATTTAAATTGATTGAGTCTAATCTGGGTTTTATTGTCTGTTTTTTGGCTCGTGACAACAGTTTTTCCAAATTCTTGGCTCCATTCCTGTCCAGATTGGTGATAAAAGCAATATTGTGTGCAATCTTCATAACACAGCCAAAGTATGGAAAACTATCATCCACGTTACAAACAAAATAAGCAAAGTAACGTTTCATTAATGCAGCATTAAACACAAGGAAACAGTTGAAAGCATGAAAATAAGGAGCGAACCCTGAGAGACTGAATACTAACACACGGTCACATGTCCTGCAGTGCGTTCAAGCAGCTCAGCTCTCTAGTCACATACCTGTGAGAGGGGTACTTCTCCTTGATGGAGGCTATAATGAGCCGTTCCACTCTCTGGTCCGTCTCGGTCACCAGGTCAACCGGCGAGCTCTTCTGCATGACGGCGATGTCCTTCGTGAGCGCCTCACGGATCATCTGGCAGAAGCACAACAATGACAAACTCAGCTGAGGGGACTTCTTGGATGACCGACTACATCTGCTGCTTGCGATTAGACCCCAACGTGTGCCGTGTGATGGTGACAGTGACGGGTCAGAGACGATGAGGCGCAAGCTCCAAAAGTCTTCATTGTGTTTGATTGTCACGATAGGAAAAGGTAGAGAGATGGCAATACTTGCTGTTAACCTTTATTTTAGATTTAAGAAATGTTTTCTCTTTGCTGCAAGAAAAAGTCTTTTTTGGCCACTTTATATGTACAATATATTTTGAATTTTGTATCACAAACTCATTGTGATTTAAGGATACTAGTTGAATGGTCCTAATTGAATGTACATGTGTACCTCCTCATCCTTAAATACATGTTGTGGTCAATTTCCTGTCAATATCTTAAAATGTTTTCACCTGTTTTCAAGAGCTCCCTGACAAGAAATTCAAAATGCATAATATTCAGTCAAAACTTTGCATTTCAAACAACTGTTTTAAAGAGTCAAACTCTCCCCTTTATGCATGTTCTTGGATCTCATTTCTATAATCATATCATGCACCTGCAAGTCACTTCTGCTGTGATACAGATACAAGTGGATGCATAACTTAAATAAACTAGTTTCCAGACCATAGCATTAAAAAGGCAGTAGTATTTACTCACCTTCCCAGCCTTTTTGGTGACTTCCACACAGTGATCCATACACTCCTGCCACGGATCACTCATGTTGATTTCAGGGATTTAACGTGATATTCCCAGATGATGACAGATTGTAACGTTATAGGTTCCTGTTGAGAAACAACCCGACACAGTAACAGTGACAACCGACGAGCTACTGGCTGAAAAGATTTAGAAGCAAGTAAATCCGCGCGAGCGTTGTCAAGTTAGCTCTCTATGCTAGTTAGCTTTTAAACAAATAAACTGGCACTTTGCGTAATAACAGGGACAGCTTCGAACCTAACATTACCGGTTTAGCCAGACAGCTTTGTAACGTCTTAATTAACGTTGTTATAAACTACAGTAGTGAGTGATTCAATGGGCTAAAGCTAACTCAACCCACCTCCTGACTCACTTCTTCTATGACACTTTTAGCAAGCTAATAAGAGGGCGGGACAGTTGGTCGGGCTCACGGATCTCATTGGTCAATAAATACCACCGGAAGTGAAATCGCTTTGTTCTCATTGGCTAGAAGATTGGCATTGTCATTTGTTCATACAGGAAACCATTGTTTTTTACTTGTTGACAGAAGCATGAATGTATCAGAAGGAGACAATGAGAGGCAGCATTAATGGATGATTTCTGCATCTGTGATTTTTAATGTTATATGGTGTTTTAGTGTATATGTATTTTAGATCAGCATCTTACTGATATGTTACAATTGCACTCCTAATTCTCACTCTCTCCTACTTTACACAGCAACTGCTGCACACTAATTCTTCCCCTCTGGATAAACAATGTTACAGTTGTATCTTATCTTTTTCCTGTTAATCTGGTACATCTGTAGCGTTGGCTTTCTGTAATGTGGACTGAACCCTATGTTTTAAATTACATTTGGGTTCAATTAAGTGTCTTGTTCTTAAACACAAACAACAAACAAAGTGAACAAATGCGTTGGTGGCAATACAAAAAAACAAGAAAATGAGACTCTCGTGTACTTTAAATGGCAACAGGAAGAATGTATGATGATTTATGTATCAATCATATCGAATGACCTGATAGCCCCTTCTTCAAATATATATATATATATATATTTTTTTTTTTCATTCTACTGTTTGTATCAGACTGGAAGGACCTCACTCTGGATCCATTTTGACACGGTTCAAGATGACGAAGTTGAGCCGATTTTGCTTTTTGAACAAGACAAATATTACAAATATTTAGCATACTTTGAACTGTTGTTGTTAGGTTCAATATTTATCTATAAATCCAAACAACAGCATAGCCTAACACTGCTGATAATCTTTGCTTAATATTGATATAAGTTCATGCATGACACATACTTCAAATCAACCTTGTTTGTGTTTTTTTAGGGTATTTAAATAAATCATTCTTCTAGATATCCATGGTGTTAATTTTAGCATATGTAAGTTGTGTGATAGAGCGTGGGGGAAATCTGCCTTGTTACAATGTAAATATAATAAACATATAAAATCTTTTTTGTCCAGAAGGTGGCAGCAGCAGCACTCTATGGGATCTAATGCACAAATATATCGGCTGCCTTGTGTAGGAATCTTTATTGCTGCAGGGTGTTGTCGTTTAAGGGAATCCATGTTGAAACCTATTTCCCTAAAGATTAATATGCACATTCTTCGATGTGCAGTAATAAGACTTTGCATATAACTCCAGAGCTACAAAGGCACGCTTTGTCACTTTAGTCAAGTAAAATCAGGAAAAGGAAAAATAGGAATTGGTTGCTTTTCTGCATTTTTTGGTTTGTGGCTGCCGGTGTCATTAAACACGTTTAGGAATCATCATGAAGGACTTGTTCATGTATGAAAACAGAGAGTCTCATGATACCTTTCGAATATTCCAATTATTTCCTCTACTCTGCATGTCTGTGGAAATAATTTCGGTCTTAAGTTATTTTAACATTAAGCTTCCTTTTACTTGAGTTCATGATTCATAAACTTCCCCTAGTGGCAAGATGTTGGTTCTGCTTACAAGAAACACATTTACACACAGCCTACTGTATACTTTACATTATGGGGAAGTACAGTATGTCATTGTTATATTAGATATTATGGCATTTCCTTGAAGCTACATTTCAGTTTGTCAATGAAGCCATGAATAATGTATGAAAACAGTGATATACGCCTTGAGTCAGATTTTTGCTTGCTTTTTATATTCATTTTACTGTATGTCAAACTCTGGCAGTCTTGTGAAGACTCTCTGTCCTCCTGCACGGAGCGCTAAAAATGCAATTAGCCTTTAAACAAAAGGGCACTATGATCCAAACTGTTTTACAGATTTACCCTCAGGCGGACTTTATCACACGAAGAGGTGCAGCCAGAAATTCAAAACCATCACAAGTGGTTAATGAGAAGACAGTTTTAGGCATCCCTTAAATCTAAACTTCAAACTATAGAGCACTACCTTTTCTTTATTTGAGGACAAGGTAGTACAATGAGAATCACATTCAGTCAATTCACACTTTCTGTATTTGGTGAAAACCTTAAGTGAAACTATCCGAGGTCTGTTAGACTCCATATCATTTATCTGTAGATACATATATTAACAAAACAAAAGTAACACCAGGCCACTTTCTATCCCCCTACTTCCAACAGATCTTCAAACTCAATCTACATTTTTATGTCAACTATCTGTAGGAAAGTACTCAAAACTGATTCTGTGGTAGTTCCTGCTACAGCTGGTGTCTGCAGGATCACATTTGGACATGATGGACAAATTACCAGCTGTCACTCCTGGAAATCATTTTCATTCATTTGTTTAAACCTTTATTTAAGCATCGAAAATCATTGAGGTTCCTCTCATTTGCAATGATGATAAGAAATACACAGAGAAGATAACAAATGAAGGGATAGCAGGTGTGTGTGAATGTTCATCCTCATATTTTGGAGTGCTATGCCAACATTTTTTCAAAGTTAATGGACAATGTTTCCCTGATGTTGAACTTTTAAGATGTTGGCCATATCTGCACAGAGAACTCACCAGTGCCTTTGTTGCAGATGTTTACTTTCCTCCCAGTGCAAATTGAAAACTGAATTGTATGAGGTCATTGGCAGAGACGTGACAAAACAACCAGATGGTACTTTTATTATAGCTGCTGATTTTATGAAGCAAACCTCAGATCTGGTGTTCTTAAATTCCACAACGAGAGGAAACAATGTGCCAGAATCGACACAAAATAAAAGTTCCTTGTGGTAGATTTAAGCATTGCAAGTAAAGTACCAACTATGAAGAATGAAGGAAAACGACTCGTGTGATTGATGCATTATCCCATATGAACACTTTCCAGTCGTCAGTGTACATTTTTCCCGTAAAACCTAAAAAATGAATAAAAAGAAGTAGGCTACTTTACAAAATAACATTTACTTTTTTCAACGAATTACTGCTGACTCATACTGTACACATTTCCCTATAATTGATTTGATAGTGATAATAATAATGATAATGCAGGGTATTCAATAATGAAGACAACCACATATTCGTCCTCCAGCCTGTCACACCATGATCCAGAGAACAGCATACACTCTGTGTGGATACATTCTAATTGGTACCATGATGGGAGTCATGTGGATCTACTATCTATGCCTCAGGAAGCTGGAAAAACATCTCATCTGTCCTCGTAGCATGTCTCAGTGGGCTGTGTTTGTCGACATATGAAGACAAGTCTCTCGGTCATTTCAACCATTATCCCTGAGAGGAGGGGACACATCCGATCGCACCACGACGGGACTCACGACAGAAATCTGACCTGAGCATCAAATCATTTATTGCAAGTTCACCTTCTGCGTGGAACCAGGTGAGCATTTACTTCTGCATTTTCTCACTGGATTATAAAACTGTTTACCTACCTTCTCACAGCATTTTATGATTGCATGTGCTAACTACTATCATTTAAAACTAAAAATGTGTATCTTTTGTGTATCTCCTTGTTGTTTATTGTTTTCTAAAGGTCAGCCATCATTATGTGTTAATCTCCTGGAAAAGCTGCCAGGTTCGAAAGAAAAGAAAAAACGTGGGAGGAAGTTTTTGTAAATGCCACCAGAAAATATCAGTCAATCAAGCAGCAGCAGCAAACACACACCTTGTTTCCTCGTGAGAAAGTAGCTGCTGGCCTGGAGACAAATCAAAAACTGATCACTGCTTTTGATCTACAGTAAAGTGGATTAAAGCGTGTACCGACAAGAGGTGGAGGCAGTCCAGGGTCTCACTATCATGAGCTCCATTCAAACATCTGTTTACTTTGTAATGATCAGCGTGACAGTATGTAAGTAACTTTCCTCTCCTTTGATGTGCCCCTCCCAAATGTGATAGATAAAGTGTTCATTCCTCCGTCTTTGTGTCCACTTTTCAAAGGGTTTATTATGTTCCCGCTCTGCCCCGTTCAACCGAGCGCACAGCTGGGGACTACCCCCAACATTAAACACATTGTGGTTGGAAGGTGCTACAATTACATCACAGTAGTTAACCCCAGTTTGAGGTAACGTATACTGCCCGAGGACTTATACTCATGTTATAACTTTCACAATCTCTCGTGAGACTCCTGTATAAATTACCTTTGACTTTGTCACCTGTGACTTGATTTCCTCCCAAAGCAGAAGAATCTTGGCTGGCAAAAAGTCAATAAACCATCAGGCTGGCGCCGAAGCCCATGAAGGGCAGTGGCGCTTGCCCTGATATAATGCTGAATGAGTTGTTTTCTTCTCTGCGATTCTGTAGAAAGAAACATAAATGGTTACGATGGAATGAGGGCATGTTGTTAGGCTTTGAATGAAAAGACGTTTTATGTCATGGGGAATTCTGGCTGCAAAACTCTCATATGTCATTTCATGTCTAGATACAGTCAGTTATCACTTTTGTTGGATCCCAAAAGGGCTTGAGGCTTTCATGGTTTACATCATGAAATGTCATTCAATTTCGTTAAGAACATATTATGGCTTGTTTAGGACTTTTCCATCCCTGCGGCATACATGCATCAAAAACATTAGGGCTGCAACGAATGTAAACAAATATAAAATGTCCATCTTAATTTTCCCAGAGCCTTTAAATGTCTTGTTTTGTCCAAAAAAAACAAATTCATCTCAGTTTACAATCGTAGCAAAGTGGTAAACCAGCTGAAACAAGTGGATTTTGGCATGTTTAATGATAACTAGATTAATTGCTTGGCCTACAAAATGTAAAAAAAAAGAATCAGAATCCAAGATGACGTCTTCAAATGTCTTATTTCTCCAACCAGCACTAAAAAACAACACATTTTCTTTTGATTAAGTAAGTGTAGCGATTAATTGATTGGCAAAATAGTCGCAGATTAATTTTCTGTCAATCGACCAACTGACTGACTGCTCTTTGTGTACAGGTTTGACTGCGAGGACATCTGGAGACAGTTTGAGGAGTCGGTTATACGTCAGTCCTCTTTCAACGTGACGGTGGATTATCATCAGATGTTTCATGCGACTCCACAAATGTGGCCTTGTGACAGGGTGAGAAGAGCTCTGAAATGATATTTTTGTTGATTGTTATTCACCGATACCTCATTCGATGGAGGACCTTTGAGTTAAGCTGCTTTATATTTCCCTTCCCTTGTGTCTAGTGTCTCTTCTGGAGTAAAACCAGGAGGCTGGTGCACAGCTACACCGCTGTTGAACGTGACATCTGGACCCTGGAGGACACGCTGGTTGGCTACATGTTCAACGACCTCGTCTGGTGTGGACAAGAGGAAGACTCCGGTAGATCGTTTCTAGTTTCAACAACGACGAGACAACGCAAACAAAATAAAAGAGGGAATTGTCTTTTCAAAAACATTCACATGAAAAAAAGCAAAGATTAGAGAAACATCTGGCTGTAGCAGAACAATAATTTTCTTCTTTCCCGTCCGATTAATTATTACACAAACCATCAGATTTATCTTGTGATCCATTGAAGAGACAATGACCTCCAAGTTGTTAAAACACTAAAGTAACTCAATCATGATGTAACGTTTACCATAAATTCATTTGTTGGAGTTGAGGTACAACCCACAATTTGACTATGACGAAACTAAAAAGCTCCCAAAAAGTCGGTAGGGACCAAAAACATAGCTGAAAGACTACGAGTATTATGTGAATATTGAACAAAAACACAACATCAAATGAATGATAATGTTGTTCTGTAACTGCTAAGTGATATGTCAGTGTATGTTGTTTTCACAACTTGTTTCTGCTGCCCCCAGGTGGCTATAAAGTCAGTTAATGCATCTTTAAATTGTTTAAAATAATCCACATGTATACCAAGTTAACAATTATATACTAATTTTTCCATTATCATTCTTTTAAAATCTTGACAACAGAAAGCTTATTCAATTGTGCTTTCATCCAGATGTTTTTACAATCAAGAAATGTAGAGCAGACCACTTGGCAGCACCGGGATCCAACTTAAATATCACGGTTCAGGCAGCTGCAGATGTGCTCCTAAATGTTTCCATGTGCCTGTAGGGTTTTATTTTATTTGTATGTCAACTCAACACCTAAACTTGTTTTTCTCACCATTCATTCATGTCTCATTTGAATATTATCAAGGTGATGACACTTTTTCTAACTGATAGCTGTGAATTTGACACACAGGTTTTGATTTCAGTTCGTGTCCGGCGTGGGCGGCATGTAGACATCACCCGGTGTATTCCTTGTGGAGGCAAGCCTCACAAAATGTGAGTTTACTGTCCAAACTGCTGAAATGTTTCAGTTCGGTGCACACAGCTGTGTCGTTTATCATTCATATGCAACATACTGCTCCAAAAACAGCAGTGGAATAATTGCTCTCACGTGAATTTCTTCACCCGTTTGTTAGTTTGCAGAAATGGCATGTGGCAACATCACTGTGTTACTGAACGGGTCTATTTCCAACGCCTTCAATAGGAAAAGGTATATAAATAAATTAAGAAGCAACTGTTTTAGCAAAGGTGTTTGTTGAGTATGTATAAAATATATATTTCTTTCTTCTTTTCCTTCTTTTTTAACTCACAGCATGTTTGGAAGTGTTGAACTGGACGGTCTGGACCCACGCAGGCTGGATTATGTCAACATAAAGGTGGTGACCGATCTAGAGGGACCTTTTATGTGAGCATATGTTGTGTTACAGTAAACACAGTAAAGAGCGTAAAGTTACTTTCACATAAATCATTACCACTTTCCAATAAGTCACCCTTTAATGACTTTAATTATTATCAACCATTTGTATTGCTAAGCTTTATCAATTTTGACTTAACAAAAAGTGTAATATTTAAATCCACAAGTCCCTTTTTTCCCCTCTTTAATAGAGAATCATGTCATCAGGGATCCGTTGTAGACCTGATCCAGATCCTCCGGTCCAGAGGTTTCAGTTGGACTTGCACGGACAACGATGAGTAAGTGACGTTCATCAAATTAAACAAAAGTTGTTTTTCCTCTAGAGCGACACACAGATAGATATAGACAGACAGACAGACAGGCAGATAAAGTGTGATACAGATACAGATGATGTTTACTGGTTAATAATGAACTTCCTGATGAGTAATGCAAATGATATTTGTCCACAGGACCCTGATGATCCTTCAGTGTATCCAGAACCCCAAACAGTCCTCATGCCAGAAATGTGCAAACAGCTTCTCCCTCAGAAGCAGCCTCACGTTTAACTGACTCACCCACAGATGATGCATGTATTCTGATCATATTTAAAAGTGGACAAAATCAAACTGGACTCTCAAAAGATTTCCTAAAATAAAATGTTTTGGTTTACACCTCGTTCTTTTCGTTGATTCTATTTCATTAGCAGATTAGGTCAGAAAGCCTCCTGAAGTGCTCCATTGATCTGTTTTCTGCAGCTGAGAGATCCTGCTGGATTGTGCTTATTGACATTTACTCTAAAGCAAAATATCAGCTGACGTGATGATGGTCTTACGGTGTGTTACCTCATTTTAGTCCTGCTTATGTCAAAACCCAGTTTCAGTTTTGTGCTTGTGATGTATTTTTTCATTTTAAATCAGTGTGTTTAATTAAATCTGAGCACATTTGTTGGATGAACTGAGGTTCATTTTGCTGGATGAGCTCATTTTTGTCAATCTGGTCATACATGTCCTGCTGATGTGTTTATGGGTTCAAAGGACATGAGGGGAAAATGCTACACAGCCTGAACTTCTTTAATGATGTAGAAGAGTTGCAAGTAATTTGTTTAGTGTGCTCTTTTAACTTCAAAGGTAGATCCTAGTAGAATGAAAACGGCAGCTTTGAGTTTGATTTGAATATTTAGCCATAACATAGTTATCAGTGTTGGAAGAAGATACTGAGTAGGGCAAGAAAGCTTGTAGGCGACCCTTCTCCCACCCTGGACACAAAGAGTTTGAGTCCCTTCTCTCTGGCAGGAGGCTGCGGTCCATTAGGACCAAGACCTCACGCCACAACACACTGTTTCCTCCCGTCTGCACTTGGGTTCATGAGTTTATATGTGTGGGGTCGGCAGAGGGAAAAGCCAGGGGCAGGTGATTGAGCAGGTGAAGTGAATAAGAGCAATCAGGAGACACACACCCACACACACACACACACACACATGACAGACACATAAGGCAAAGTCTAATCGTGACAGGTTCATCAACAAAGCCCCAGGACATTACTTACAGTTACACACCTTTGCACAACAACTCTGCTACACTCGACACTTCAATAACATACTTGTTTTAGCATATACTCTTAATTTGCTTGTTTTGAATATTCGAGTGTTCATTGTTCATTGTTACGCACCGATCACGAAGCCAAATTCCTTGTATATGTAACATTCTTAACAATAAAACCGTTTCTGATTCTAAAATATACTTAACCAACCAAAAGGACCTATTATGCAGACAGCAACCATTTCCAAATAATATATATATTTTAAACATAATGAGTACATCACTTTAACATTGCCGCTGTTAAATAAGGGGCTAATTTTGATTAATTTACATACTGCTGGATAGCTTGTGAAGTTTTAAAAAGTGTGATGTTAACCTTTTTAGTAGAAAGCAATACTATTATTGTACGTGCTGTAATTCACATCCACTAAATGACAAGGCTGAATTATTGAATCGTGAACTAAATAATCATCCTGCAAAACAGAAATGTGGAACCAGTTTATTGGAGTGGTTAACATTTAGTGTTGCTGACACTTAAAGGTCTGTGCATTTCATAACATGTTCACTCACGTTCTGAAAGCTCCTGCGTGACCTTTGAGTTCTTTCGGCAGCTGATTATTTCATTACAGGAACTTCACCCAGATACTGTAGCACCTCCTTGGTTTGAATATCTCTATTATTAATCTGCCAACATGCCTTATATAAAAGAAAGGTGAAAGAACAAGAGCAAACAAGTTGGAAAACCACAAAGGCAGAGGAGATGCAAATGGTGAACCGTCCAAACTAGTTTATGCTTGCACCACACGTATAGCAGGAGCTGTGGCTGCCATTGATGAAAATTACAGTAGTTCAATAAAAACAAACACATGGCAGATTTATTGTAGGCTGATTCCATATATTTCGACTGCACTGCAACCCTGTCTCCTAAAAATTACGTTCCCCCAAAACTAAAATGCATTCTCAATGTTTGTGTTTGACGTATTACAAATACGTTTCTAATCAACATTTTAACACTTTAACCTTTTTTTTCCCCCTCTCCATCACCGCCTCTCATTCGCACTATTACGCGGTCAGAATACTACCACAACACGCCGCCTGTCTCCGGAAGAACATTACGCGGCTACAATACCTCCACAAAGGCCCGCGTGTAAAATCCGGGAGTAACCGTGACTCTCTTAAGGGTTAGGTTTGGGTGGGGACGTGGCTTCCTAGTGGAAGTTATGGTTAGGGTTATGGTTAGGGCAGAGTTAGGGTTAGATGGATACAAATAAATAAAATATACCTCCATAACACCCCGCCACTCTCGGCTCATACCTCCCCAGCAACGAGGCACATCACCCGGCCACAATACCTCCAGAATGTCCCCCGGGTGAAATCCGGGACTTGGTTTTATGGTTCCGAGTGGTGGGCCCTCAGAACAGGCCACGGGGCAACAACTTGTGGTTGGCGGGGGTAGAGGCGAGGCAGATCACAGAAAAATAATAAAGACTAGAGTATGGCAAAGATATGTTGATGAGAAACGTATTTGTAATACGTGAAACACAAACGTAATCAGGGAGAAAATACGTTTATGCTCAAACGTAATTGAGAATGCATTTTAGTTTTGGGGAATGTCATTTTTAGGAGACAGGACTGTTCAATATACATGTTTGTATACATATCATATATGCATTTCACTAATTTAGGTCAGCAAAAAACTTATTCCTGCATGAGAAGAAACTGCATAAATACCTTCATCTGGCTTTAAATAGACAATAAAACTACAATTTATTCTATTTTTTAACTTCATTATACGATATTCTTTTGTGAGTTTTGGGCACAATGAGTGGGGCAGAATAGGGATCTATCACTAAACACTATACGCTCCAAAGCTAATTTGAAGATATGTTTTTGGGGGGGATTTCGTACTTGAGTAAAGGTAACACCAAACTAGAAATACTCTTGCACAAGTAAAAGTAGTGTTCACCAGCAATGATACATCATATATTGTTGGTGATATTTTGTATCAACAATCTGAATCTGCAAAGTAACTTTATATAAATGTAGTGGAGTAAAAAGTACAATGTTTGCCTCTGAAATGTAGCGAAGGGCAAATATTAAGCAAATGGCAACACTCAAGTGCAGTACAAGTACCTCAAACATCGTACTTAAGAACAGTATCTGAGTAAACGCACCACGTTACTTTCCACCAGTGCTTAACGGTTCTTTTTGTGTCCCTCGGGCCTCACTTTGGGCAGCTCCACCTCTACCGATTCCCGATTGGAGCCTCCAAGCCCACGAGCCAACGCACGTGCGCGCGCTCAGCGAGTGCGCTGCTGCGCTCCTCCACAAATAGAAGCACGAGAGCGAGCGTCATATCACTGACAGCAGCCAACGGTGTCCACCGCCAGGCTTCCGCTGTGTTAAGACTTTTTTTAAAGCGCTTTTTAAAATGGAGCATGGAGAGACTCGTCCTCCGGAGAAGAGGCGCAGGAGACGCCGTATTATTTTAAGTGTCGTCGCTGTCCTGCTGCTGATTATTGTCGTCGCCGTTGTGTTGGGACTGACGGTCCAGCAGAACACACGCACACTTAAGACAACATTCATTGAGAGGTGTGAGGAGTTCAAGGGGTAAGCGTTTTAAAAGTTTATGTAGGCCTACAGATGTCACGAATTGAACCACACAGCTTGGAGACTGAGAATAAGTCAATTTTGAATACAATTTAAGATAAATGTTTACAGTAAGTCTGCAAACTCCGATTCTAACTAACAATGCACGAACTAATGCAGTCTAACACAAGGTTATTGTGGAGGAGAATGTCGTTTGTGGTGCTGTTGAACTGAGAATGCATTACACTGACTGGTGTTTCTATTATTTGTCCACCCCATTCATATCAATGAGGGTAAAGTAAATCACAGAAACAGCTTTCTGGATGGAGGAATGGATGGATGCATAACCTTATTAATCCCCGATATAGGGAATTAAATGGTCATAATGGCCACATACATTGAAATACAATAAAGTCAACAATAAAATACAAGAGAATGACAACAGGTGCATGAACACAGCTAAAATGACACTAGAATAAATAACCATATAAGTGTCCTGGTAGTCTATATGTAGGCTAAAAAAGGGCGGGGTGAAATAGTGATAAGTTAGAGTGTGTGCTTGCAATCTCGAGCAATATGAACATGTACCAGTGAGTCACAGAATAAAGAGTGAAGGATCATTATAAGTGCTTTCTGGGAAGTGAGACACTAAATGTAATGTTTGAGTTGGAGTTCAGTCCAGATGTTTGGTCAGTTTGGTGCTCTGATCAATGATTACTTAACTGGCCTCCTCTCTGAACGCTGTTTGTGTCGGTCCGCTGTGTAGTGACAGTGTTTCTCATGTACCTGTACAGTTTTTGTCTTATTTATTGTAACTAAGCCAACATTGACTTAAGATAAAAAATTGGACACGTTCATCAATGACCCAGTTTTCACATCGTTTCTTTACAATGATAATCAAGCACTTTTTTTTTTTTTTAAACAAAGTGCTTTATAAAACACATAACTCCAACTAGCGTAGAATGAAATAAAACATCACATAAGGGAGGGAGTAAATGCCCTGTTTCTGTTATTCAAATTAATTTATATTAGCAAATGAACTGTACTTCAAAACATATGAATCCCCCAGCATGCTGATCCATAAGCACATTAATATTCGTCACCATTATGCATCAAAACTAAGCTGAAACTGCTTCTCAACCATGCCCAGTTCTTACTTGAAATAGTTTATTTTCCCATTTTCCAAACTACCACATCTACCACACTCTCCATTATTTTGCAGATACGACTGTCAAAAGCTTTGGGGTGTGTTTGAGCGAGCCTACGTAGGGCTGGACCCGTGTGAGGTTCCCATGGAAGCCTATGACCCTTTGATGGCCGCGGTCCCCTTCAAGCCTGAATGCAACAGAGTAAACAGCGCTCATTACAAGACTGTCTGTCCGCGTGCACATGATCCGCTCTTTAATAACGCAGCACAATACATTCAGCATCTGTGCTTTTTTTTTGTGTGGTGGGGGGGGGGGTGTTTAGAAGATATTCTGGAGCAAAACGAAGGATGTGGTCCATGACTTCACTGAGAAGAGGGATTGTTTTTACACCGTCGAGAAAACTCTGTTGGGAGCGGTGCTGAACGGGCTGACCTGGTGTGGAAAGGAGGGCAGCAGTGGTAAGACTCTTCATCCAGTCGACAACCTCACAGCAAAGTGTAGTATCATCATCTACCAAACAGATTAAAAGATAAAGGACACAGAAAGAAGGGCAGCAGCAAGGGCTTTCATGCCCTTTGGCTTGCAACAGATCCCAAATTAGCTCAAGCTCTCAGAAAAGAACAAAGTTTACATTTCTCTTGGAGGTATAATGCTATTTTATCCTACTGGTATTGAGAGCATCCTCATCTTTGCAGTAATAGCACCAAAAATATCATCAAAAATCATCAACAACTCAATAATCTCTTTAAGAATCTCCAATATTGAATTGATTTAATTTCCAGAACATGTGAATAAGATTAGCTGTCTCAGTTTTGCATCTTGGGCAAAGATCTGAAATGTATTCCATGATATGCATCATAGTTGTTTTATGGTGCTGATAGCATCTCTAGTTGACGTTTGTTCATTTATATATTTTTCCTTTTTTATGCACAAAGTTTTGATTGTTCGACTATGTCATGTTTGTTTCTACCACTTATTTTCTGTCTCAGTGTGTGATGTCCTGAGGTTTCTGTTTTGTTTTATTGAAATGCAAAAAACGTGTCGACTCTGCGTTTTTGTCGTTCTAGAAACGTTCACTACCGGCTGCCCGGGATGGACCGACTGTGCGAACAACACTGTTCGCTCCTTTTGGAACAGAGTCTCAGCCTCTGTAAGTCATCAACAAGAATTCTCTCGTTTTTGGCAACAATACGACAGTTGTGGGATCAAGCCGTGGTTAGAATAACACGTGTGGAGCACGAGGTGAAACACCTCCTGTGCTGAAGCGATGGTGGTGGAGCGGAGGGAAGAAAAAGGTCAGTCAGCCCGGTCCTCCGTCAATGAGGCTTTGTGTCGGTCTCCATGGAGCCACATTGCGGAGCTCTCTCCTGAGCGAGCGGTGGCAACCCACGCACTCAGAGCAGCCCTGGTTTGGTTTGTCTTGGGTTTTAATCTGTGATAATACTAGCAACACATAAACACATTTTCTTCACACGTTCACCAAAACAAACAAACAAAAATACAAAGATTCAATCCAACATAAAACAGGGATACGCAGAGACACAAAACGAACCATAGATAGCATAGAAAACAAACACAAAAAAGGGTTTTGCATGAAATTGAAGCATGAGAGAATAAAAACAGTAATAGTTGAAATGGCTTTAACATTAGCTGCTGCTGGCATCTTTAAGAACGTACAACAGATACGCAGTTATTGTGATGAAGCAAACCCAACCTTGCATCACCCTAGAAAGTTTAAAGTGCAGCAAGACAAATTGTAGGCGGCGGCTTTCACAAAAACTAAAAACAAAGTTAAATATTAAGTTAATATTGGACTTACATTCATCAGGTGGACAGAAACAAAACCCAGGATAAATCATAATGATGCTCCGTAAATGTTGGATGTCTAAACAAACCACAAAAGTTCACTCTATCAAAATGAAAAAGTGATGGTATGTCACTGTCGTGTTCACAGCCTGTTTCTGCTGCCCCCAGGTGGCCAAAAACAGTAATCAGCTATTGCAGGTTTAAGAATAACAACAACGATAGTTGTTCATTTTAATTCAGGAAAATTAGGCCTCATGCTAACAATGACATATTATTATGTTCATCACTTTGATGGACTAAATAGATAAACATAAAAAATAAATAGTGTGTCTGTTGTGTGAATCTAAAGTGCATTTTCTCATGTGTGTGTAGTTTGCAGATGTGGCCTGTGGTGACGTCGCAGTGATGCTGAACGGATCCATCGCCACACCATTCCATCCTGCAAGGTGAGTTTCTCTGCACCTCTTGTGTTGTCAGCCGAAAAACAATTAGCATTTCTTTGCATTCTTATAAGACTGATTTTGTGGATTACATACAATATATAGCATACGTGGTTTTGCTGAGTAAATTGTGCTCTTTCATTGTTGTTGTCAGTGTGTTTGCGAGCATCGAGGTGAAGCGGTTCCACTTTCCCAGGGTGAAAAGCCTGAATGTTGTTCTGGTCACACAGGAGAACTTTGTGTAAGATCGTCCTCCTCATACTCAAGACTTCTGCAACATTACCGTCCTCTTTGGTTGTTCATTTTGAGTGTGATAAGTGCACAAGTGTTCCGTGCGTTCTTCCGCAGTGGCTCAGATACAAACTCATACTGAGACATTTGATCCCGAAGTCATGTTTTCTGTTCCCTCTTCAGGACAAACTGCACAAATGCATCTTTAAAGGACTTGCAGAAAGAGCTGGATCAAGGAATGACCTACGACTGCAAGGAAGTGTCTGAGTACGTTCAGCATGTTTGTGTGAGAGGACGTCACCACGTGTACATGAATGTCGACGTGTACATTACCTCTCTCTCTCTCTCTCTCTCTCTGCAGAGCTCAGATCCAGGAGTGCAGCTCTAATCCAGAGAAACCCTGTGGAGCCTGTTGGTGAACTAAATATCAGATCATACAAGACACGATAATAACCAGCTGTGAAGTTCATCTCTGTAAAGTCTTTGTATATTAGATAATGTGCTATTATTATGCAGGGACTTGTTTTTGTACCTGTGGACCAGTTTGATTTAATGTGAAATGTTTTGTATGAATGTCACTCACACGTTTTTATAATATGACAGCGCACCTTTTCTTTTAATCAAATCTTAAGAGTTGTGGTAAAGTGTCGTGTACCGTAGGGCGAACTTCCAGTGCTGCTTTCTAACTCCACTGACAAGCTCCTCACCTGGTGGCACAATCTGAAATGATTTTAAATAAAATGTTAAAATACGAGGCTGTGAAATCGTCTTTGGATTCTGAAGGGTGATATGATTGTTTGTGTAAATCATATTTCATGTCACTGCAGCTGTTTTCACAAATACCTTAAGAAAGGGACCTTCATGTCATGTTGAAGGAAGGTGCACGGATATCAGGTTGTACAATGACATGTACATAAGAGATCATAATAAAACCCTTTAATACAGTTATTCCTTATGGCTTGATAGAGATCCTACATGACTCTAAACCATCGCACATGTCAGACATTTAAAAACATGACACATTGAAGGAGCCTCACATCCATCTTCGTCAGCATGGAGTCTGATCTTGTTTTCTAGTTCTGCAGGTGTTTTAGTGCACTTATGCCAGCACCACACTTCACCACCGGGATGGTATTGTGCAGATGATGAGCGGTGCTGGTTTCCTTCAGACGTAACGCTTACATTTATGGTCACACGGTTCAATCCTGGACTCAACCGAACCAGAGAATCTGAGTTGCTTTTATCATTTATCTTTCATGAGTCTTTCACTGAGGCGGGGCATCTGTCTGGCTACTCTGACATAAAGCTAAGATCAGTGGTCACTGATCACTGATGGTTGTTTTCTGGAACTTCCTCCCATCTATAGGATCTCTAGGTAGAGGGTCCATCCAGGCCCTTCTGCCCTTCTTGTTCAGTTTTTTTAAATTAAAATGTTCTTGGCCTAATTCTCATTTCTATATAAAAAATATAATCTTGGTTTCTGGTGTTTGAAGGCAAAACTTGAAATATATTTGTAATAAAATGCTGAAATATTACATGAAATTATTATTATTGTGTGAAATGATCTTGAAGTAACATTTTTTGTGAGCAAAATAACGAAATGTGCAAATAAAAATCAAATAAATAATTTGAGCAAACACTGAAACAGAATTGTTTGATTTGTTTGATTTGATTCAACCAGAAGAAAAGTGGATGGTGTGTTTTATTTGTAAAAAAATATTGAAAGCTAATCCTGAATAATGATTCATTTATCTTAAGTGTTACTTTCTATGAAGCAGTATTAGGAGCTCTTCTCTCGAACCACACAGAAACACAAACTTTCAGACATGTAGGTATGTGTACACTTTGAACCTTAGTTGAGTTTCCATTGTTTTCCTTTTCTTTTTGATTCACATGAATCTGGGGCCAAAGGTCAGACGACAATGTATGCAAATAAACCCAACCACTGAACTACTGAAGAGAATAGAAAGTGCTCGAAAATCCTGCTTTTGGTTTTACATTTGTCGATGCAGGCCACAAGTTGTCTTATCTGTGATGTGTGTGAACCGGAGGCGTGTGCGTGCGTGTGTGTGTGACACAGAGTGTGAATCTTTTAGAGTGAGATTGTTGTGGCAGGAAGAAGAAGGAGCTCAGTAATAACCTCCTCTTTCCTTTCTAGGGACTTGCTGCTGTGTCACACGTACCGTAAACAGGCTGCTGTCGGTGCTGGGAACACACTGCACAGGTGTTACATGAAGAAAGGCCCCTTCTGTAAAAAAACACAACATGGGGTGCTGTGACAAGTAGCCTACTGTAGTCATCGTCACACTTTTAGTCACTGCCACCAACACGACGCTACTAATGGTGTGTGTGGCACTTATTCTGAGACCATAATGAAGTGCTAATGTGATGATTCCACACAACTATCTGGAGCTGGACTTTCAATTAAAGGGAATTTTAACTATTTATTTGTCTTTTTTTTTGGGGGGGGGGGGGGATCTTCCAGATCGATTTGAGGAGTGCCTCTGATTTGCATGTTTTATATTTTATTGTGAATGTGTCATCCTTTGTGTGACTCATACGGATCTGGCCTTGGTCTTGACTTGGTCTCAACCACTCAAAGTCTAGGTCTTGTCTCGGTCTCTATTCCTCTGGTCTTGGCCATGACTTGGTCTCTATTCCCTCTGGTCTTGGTCATGACTTGGTCTCT